GTGGGGGGGGGGGGGGAGCGGGGGGGGGGGGGCGGGCGGAGCGACGTCGCGCGTTCTTTGGAATGAAAGACACTGATCGTCTGATTGGCGACAGGGCTAAAGGTCGAAACGCGATGCTTTCCGTTCGCGGAAAGCCAGTTTCATAAAAGAAACGCGGCGTCTGTCTTCCATGAAAGTGCCTTTCCCAAGTCGATCGGTGGCAGTATAAATTAGTCGTTTAGCGCTCGCTGAGGCAAGCTCTACGCCTCGTGAAATCTCAAACGCTTCCTCGTCGCACTCGTAATATCTCGGTATATCACGATGCAATATCTCTTCCGTTAGTACGCCGTGTAATCTTGCCATGGTCTCTGCTGTCTGTATTGCGCCCCGCTGACCTGTATAGCCTCCGGCGTTCTGTAATACACCGTTCGGCCCCGATCGTTGTTGCTGATGCTCGTCGGCAAGAACTGAGGACTCGGAACGAACGATTTCTGATGTTGATGCTGATGCTGTTGCGATTGCTGTTGCTGCTGCTGCTGCTGCTGCTGCTGCTGCTGCTGCTGCTGATTAACCGGCCTGGAAAGCTTGTAATTGTTCTCGGAAGGCTGTAGCACAGTGTCTCTGCCCAGCTGTCTGTGAAGAGGCAGGACGAATCCGCTCGGTAAATTGGCTTCTTGAATTAAAGTCGGTGTCAGAGCGTCATTTAAGGTAACGTCGTATTCGCTCTCGGGAATATCCTGAAGGCGATGCGTCACTTCGTTGATCCTTTGCTTCGCTCTGTAGCTGCCAGGCCCCGACGGCAGATCCTGAATGTCCTCGCTCTTGTACGTCGAGCTGTAAATGTTCGGCGTGGACTCGGAGAGAAGTCTCACCTTGCTGCGGATCGGTGAACCCGAGGACGTTTGCACATTGCTGACATCCGCGTACTTGTCGCTCGAGTAATTCTCTATCCACTTTGGTTGCAGGGCTTCCTGACGATTACGCAGATCGTACGATTGGTTCTGAGAGGAGTATCCTCTGGAGGAGTTCGATAAATCTTCCGAGCCCCTCGAGACTTCCTCCTCGTTGCTCTTCTCCGTCGGTCTTCGTAGCACCGTTCTGGACGTCGCGCTGTCGTACTCGTCCTGGCGTTGTTTCTTCTGAAGATCGCTCTGGACGGTTTTGTAAGCGTCGTACGTTTGCTTATTGCCCGATCTTAGGAACGATTCCTGATGATTAATGTTCCTATTGTCCTCTTGCTCCTCTTGTACGTAGTAACCCCTATGTTCATTTTCGCCCAAGCTACTTCGGTGGTCGGTCGTCGTCTCTTCGTCTCTTCTGGTCGATTGCGGCGCTTTCGAGCCGACCGGTGATAATCCCCTCGGATTGGGATTGCCGCCTCGAGACGGTAGGAAAGGCCTCTTCACGATTCGAACGGTGGTTCGGGGTGGCGGGGGAGACGGTGGCTCTTCCAGCGGCTCGTCGTAATACTCGGAGGAATACTCGTCCGGATACGCGACTTGATGATGACTCTGTTCGTTCCTACCTTCCACCTCTCTGTCTTGGTAATCCACTTGCTGAGACGGTCTCTGAGATTTCTCGGACAAATTTCTCTGATAATCCTGAGTATCTCCCGCTACGCGATCACTTTGCGTCTGAGTAGGTCTGGCCGATCGTTCCAGATAAGATGGGTCCTCCTCTCGATCGGCTATCGTGTCTTTAGGCTCTTCAGATTTATGAATAAGCTGCTCTGGTAAGCAAGTCGTGGTAGTTGTGGTGGTTGTGGTAGTTGTGCTGGTGGTTTTCTCAGTTGTTCGATCGTACGTATTGGGTCTTTTGGACACTTCGGTAGCGTCCGATAGATCCTTCGATCTCGAGGAAGATCGTGGTCGTTCGGTGTCTCTTTCGCGATCAAGAAGCCGAGGCGAATATGGTTGCTCTTGTCTATCGGAATCTTGCGATCTTCCTCGCGAATCGCGATCCGAAAATCTCTCGGACCCGCGATCTTTTCCACGATCGAGACCTCGATCTCTACTTCGGTCCCTGTCTCGATCGTAGTAACGATCCCTCGAGCGGTCCTGATGTGTCCTGAGTCGTACCTCTTCTGCCGTTGAATGATAGCGAGTTCTAAAAAATTATTTTTTATTATTATTATTATTAATCATAATATTAATTATTTCACGATTATTGTGAAGTTTAATGACCGCGTTAACTTTTTATAAATAATTGATTTTCACACAACACCTTTGTTTTTATATTTATTACAAAACAATTGTAGAATTTGTCTTGAAATCTTTCATGATAAAATATTAATAACAGTATGTCGATAATACATTTTTGAATGGCATCATTTGAGCGATCGTAGGATATAATTAACAATCTATCGTGATATTTTGCTTCAGTCACGATGGCATTTAGTAATTTTATAATTTTAGTACTATTTATGAATGTGATTTCGTTTAGTAGTTTAGTTTCGTTGAAATAAAATTTTATCGGTGTTGTGTACGTTACCTTACCTAAGGGGACGGTCCCGGTCCCGAGTCTCATAGAAGTCTCTATCTCTATCTCTGTCCCTATACGAGGGTCTTCTTCTGAGCGGTCTTCTCGGTCTGACGTCCTCTATCTCGTCGTCGTAGTAGTCATCCTCCGCGAAATCTGCCGGGCGCCGTCGTGGCTCCTCTTTAATTACAATTTCGTTTCTTTCAATAGGAGAGAGAGAGAGAGAGAGAGAGAGAGGTGG